TGCACAGTACATGCATGAAATAATATTTATAAATGAAAGGAATATTGATGCTAATTTGCAGGCATGTGTCGTGAATGAGAAACATGGCTGCAGCATGCATGCAGTGCATGCATTCATAGTTTAGAAGGGGGACGTGAATCGCCCATCGGGTGAAAGAACATTGATCCACCTTTTCCCGTAGCTGGACGAAAGGTCAAAATGTTCGTGTGAAGTATTCTTCCAGGTGGTACAACGCTTTTGTGGCCACTGCATGGAAAAAACAACCAAAAGGTTAGTGCTATTAACATTGCTACAATTAACGTGGACTATCATGCAGTAATAGTTACAAAGGATGATCTCAAGCAAACATCCACGGCACCCAGTGTGATCAATGGTGTATAATATTGACAAATCTGACAATCGAGCTTAGTGTTGTCCAGCTGTTGAATACAATTGAAGTTGATGAACCTTTGGGCGAGTTCAATTACCAAACTCAGTTGTTTTTGTTTTCTTTAGTAAAATCAAAACAAAGCCATAATTAAAGAATTTCAATTAACTTAGATTACTAAACATTCACTTTAACTACCATATTTAACTATAAGCTAAGATATATTACTGTCATTTATTCATTTAAAAGTTAGCTTTATTTCAAGGGATGGCAGCAGATGTAACAGATAAAAACACGCTTATTACGTAAGTAATTATTCGGACAGATTATTTTGGAGAAAATTGTACAAAGTCAACACTTCTGGATAGTCTTGAAGCTGCTGAAAGGGTGACACATAAATCAGAACTAAATAATGGCAGTACATAAATCAATTGTTTTGAAAGGTGGGGCAAAACAAACGGCAACAGGTTCAAACACCACAGACAAAAGAGTTGACGCACCATTGCCCATGTTCATACTTTGGGGACCTTGAACCTACTTTAGTTGTTTGCCGAACGGAAGTGAGCTGGTCTCCAAAATGGTGGTCACGGAAAGCAAGAAAACTTCAGGATGGCACTGGAATTGTGTAAGTGCTTTGTGCACAAATACTTTTCGCACTAAGGAGGTCAAGTATTTACATTGCCAACTGATCCAGAATTGCAAAAAGGCTATGCAAAAGTTCTCATGAACGACATTGTAAACTGGCGGAAACATGTAATTTGCAGTGCACATTGGAGCAATGAAAGAAAATAAAAAAATCAGTTACCAGACGTAATTTGTACTCATGGGTATGTTGAAAAACTGGGAGACTGGGGAGACTGGGGCGACCGTGTCCGAGTGAAGACGCGCATGTTTCACTCCCGTACACGTTTTGTCGTTTCTTAAAATATTTAGTCCTTAAACCCAGTCTATAGGCGGGTTCATACTAGCGAAGTAAGTAGACCTTAAGTATACTTGAATCTTACTTTAGATGTGAACGGGTCGAATTTCAACTCAAGTAGCCTACTTTGTGCCCATGGTAATGCGTTGACTTCAAAGAAACCGAAGTACACTCCCAAGTCTAGTTTCAACTATCCTTAGCAGCTAACTTACGCTTTATCTAGACACATTCCGCAAAGATACGTCAATCAAACATGTTAAAAGCAGGAGAATCGCAACATAAGAGCACGCCAACACGCAAACGTTGTCTGTCGATTGCATTGCCTGTTAGCTTATTTAATCGCGAAATGAATCCGTTTAGATCCTCTTACCAAGCCATGGATGACGACTATTTAGACCAAGGTCTTATGTAAGTATTCACGTTTTTGTAAATTTAAGAGTGAAATTTATTAAATTTGCGCAGCAGGCCCAGAAGCTCACGCAATTACCCTGCACTCGTGTCTTCTTCAACAGAAACAACTGGAACCAGCATTTTGCAAGCCGAGTAAATTCTCCTGAGCATTTACAACCGCCTATGGGTGGTAGACAGTTATTGCCCTTTCCTTCGACCAGCAACTCTTTTTATCGGCCGTCCGAGTTGACACGTATGCAGTTTCATGAACAGCAACTTGAAGATTCATCTCAGCTCAGCACGATCCAAAACATCTCTGACGTGTCAAGAGCGCAATCGCCCATCTCTGTAGCAACTGCAAGGGCTGCAAGCACTTCATCTTTACAGTCAGAGGAGGAAAGGCCAAAGGGTAAGACAAAGAAAGCTCGATCGAAGTCGGCTGATTGGACTGACAACGAGACTCAAGATCTTTTGGAAGCTTGGGGGCCCAGGTATAACCAGCTTCGAAGCGCCTCTCAAAAGGAAAAGATAAAAATATGGAATGAAATTTATTCATCTTACAAGAATGCCTTTCCCGAGAGCCACAGAACCCTTCAACAGATCAAGAAACGCCAACAGAATTTGGAGTACGAGTATAAACACCTAAAACAGCGAACTCAGAAGACCGGAGAAGCTGGAATAAAAATCATCAAAGATGGCTTTCCATATTTTGATTATTTTGACGAAGTAATGGGGCATCGCGACTGCGTAAATCCGACAAAAATGGCCGTTGAAGGGAAGCTCCATCTTTACTAGTACAGAGCAGAAAGGAGGGTTAGTAGAAAGTAAAGATATTGCAGAGGAAAGCAGTCCACCAGCCTCAAATTCGAGCACCCACTCTGGCAAAAAGAAGGCAGACGGCAAGCCCGCAGAAAAGAGTTGCCGTAAGGGAAAACGACGGCGTCGAGATGAGCCAGAACCGAGTGGATCTTCTGCAGGTGAATTCCAGACAGCCGTTATGGAAATGTGAAAGCGTAGTATTAAACAAGATAACGAGAGATTTGAACGTTCTGCTAAAATGTTTCACGAGGCCCAGAACAAGCAAATGGATCAAACAAACGCTATACTTACAGGTTTTAAAGACATTAGGGACCTTAAGCAGCGACGACGAAGCGGACGACGACGACAGATTGTACGGCAAGGAAAAGGCAGGAAAATAAAAACTTCAGCTTTGCTTGACGTACGACGTGAACGTAAACAAAAGCGCTGCAGTTTTTGGTAAAATGGTTAATTTTCATGAGCTTCAAGAGCTTTTCTCTTAAGTCACGCTCATGGCATTTTGGATGACGAAGAGCTGCTGATTTTGTACGAGGGTATTGGCCAAAAAAATCCCGACTTTTGCTATGAGAAGTACGAAAGGTTTTCTCTTGATGATATGAACGATGCAGAGTGCTTGGCCGAGTTCAGGTTCAGAAAACACGATCTTCCACTTCTCGCCGAGGTCCTTCAAATACCAGACAGTTTTACTTGTTACCAAAGAACCGTAACAAGTGGAATGGAAGGACTTTGTGTTCTTCTTAGAAGGTTATCTTATCCCTGCAGATTCAGTGATATTATTCCACGATTCGGCAGACCAGTACCAGTCCTTAGTATGGTCAGCAATCAAGTACTTGACTATATATATGACATTCACGGCCACAGAATCACTCAGTGGAATCACCAAATTCTCTCTCAGCCCTTGCTGCAACTGTATAGCGACACTATTGCTGCCCAGGGTTCAGCCCTAGACAACTGTTTTGGCTTTGTTGATGGGACTATTCGTCCAATTTGCAAACCTGGAGAACATCAAAGAGTGGTCTATAACGGGCACAAAAGAGTACATGCTCTGAAATTTCAGTGTGTTGCCCTTCCCAACGGTCTGATAGGTCATTTATATGGACCAGTAGGTATGAAATTGGTACCTTTGATTTCTTCTGCTTTGATGATTAGTTTTAATTTTTTTTTCTAATTTTCAGAAGGAAGAAGACACGATGCAGGCATGCTGGCAGATTCAAGACTCCTTAATGACCTCCAAGCATTTGCAAACTCCCCTTTTGGAAATCCATACTGCATTTATGGTGATCCGGCATACCCTTTATGGATACACCTTCAAGCCCCTTTTAGGAATAGAGTCTTAACCCCTCAAATGATGGATTTCAATCGATCGATGAGTAGTGTCAGAGAATCAGTAGAATGGCTATTTAATGATGTCACAAACTACTTTACGTTTCTGGACTTTAAAAAATTTGAAAATTGGTCTCAGTAGTGTGGGCAAAATGTATGTAGTCAGTGCTCTCTAAGAAATGCCCTTACATGCCTCTATGGAAATCAGACCTCAGTTTTTTCAACTGGATCCTCCTTCACTTGAAGACTACTTTTCCTAATTACTCCACATCTTTTGATATTACTTTTAAAATTGGGTCATGGCAGCTGGAAGCTGCATATGCTCTCCAGTACCCAGAAACACCACCTGGGATTTGTGTAAGTTGAAAAACAAAGAGGATAATGTGATAACAGCCTAAGTATGAAGGAAGCTAGACTTACATTTTCAAAAGGGGAGGGCACAGGGCAGACCTGTGAATCAGAAAACCACCCATGGTAAGGGGGAGGGGTGTGAATGATTTTTCGCCTTACTAAAATTATAGCTAGTTGCACTAGCAACAAAAGATCAGAATAGAAACACAACAACGTGAATGCAAAACAAATATTAATCTGTTCTGTTGTTATGTCACTAAGATGCTAGTTCTACTTAGACTTGAGGCTGAAAACATAAGCAGAAAAAAAAAGATCCAGATGTAAACAAGTGAAGCACAATTTAATATACCACATAAAGTAGCAAGTTTCCTGCAGCACAAAAAATATGCAGAGAAAAGTAGTTTAAAACTTTTGAAAACTTGAAATTCTATATTTGCCCACACACTTTAAGTAAAAAAGTTTAACAAAATATGGGTTTCGCAAAGGGGAGGGGCCAGTGTCTTTTTAATCAGTCTAAAACTAAGACATATGAACATGTGTGTTATTTCTCCCACTAAGAGTTAGTACAACACATTAATTAAACACAACGTTTTCAAAATGTTGACATTTGTGTCAGTCACTTTGTGCAAATAGACTTTTCTCCAACTAAGAGTTTATACAACATATTAATTAAACACAACGTTTTCAGATGCAGACATTTGTTTCAATCACTTTGTGCACGTAGACGTTTCCAATAAAGCCACCAGTGACTGATTCTGTTGTTGTAGCATCTTCATCATTTCTAACTGCTGCTTGTGCATTTGACTCTGTTGGTCCACCAACATCTGCTGCTTAGTTTTCTTGAAATCCATTTCTTCCCTCCTGAGCTGACTTTCCTACTGAATTTCTCTTTGACATATTCAACAGCATCTGAGCTTCTTCTCTTTCCTTCCTCTGAATCTGCATTTCTTTTTGGGTTTTACCAAGGCGTTCCATGGCTTGGCGCCTAACCTCTTCAGCACTTGCCTTCTCTCTTTGTTCCTTTAAGGTTTGGGTACCACTTTGCTCATTTCTTTCCATGTCAGCTGCCTTTTCCTTCTCAAGAATCTCTTCAATTGCTGCATCTAGCGGTGTCTCTTCGCAATCTATGCCAGATGCTTTTTCTTCTTCCCTTACTTTTCCCTTGTACCTGGTCTGCAATAAAGTAAGTCTGTCTCTGACTGATCTCTTTGACACTTTGAATGATGGATTTTCCAGACTGTTGAGATTGACCGCTATATTTGACCAAACCTCTCCCCTCTCTTTAATATTTTTTGGATGCTTGAAGGGCTCCTGTAATAGGACTTCTCCACAAAGCGTCAAGTCATGTTCCACAGTCCATTTCATGGAGTTGTTCCTAAAGAAGAGAGTTGTGACTTTAGAAAAGAAAAACCTTTATGCCCTTGGGCGACAACAATACGCATCCATCACGATGAAATGACCTAGATAAGAGCTAATTAGGCTTCAAACAACTCTGCTTGTATATATTTTTATTACTCCTCAATAATTCTGACTGTTATTCCATGAGACTATAACCATCTATGAATTACAATGTTTATTTCTAAAATATAAAAATTAGAATAAATACTAGCAATCATTTTTAGTTTATGGATTTTTTTAGAGCAGGTCAGCAATCCACGGGTCTGTTATTAAACCTCTTGGAATTAATTTTAAAAGTAAACAATGATATCTGCTAGTTGTCTCTGGCATTAATCCTAGTTTTAAGCAACCTCGGGTACATTATTCTCACAAATTGAGCAATGAATAAAGTTGAATTTGAGAAATCGGTTAATATAAATCTATAAATCTGCAAATGTTTTTGGAGCCTTTGAGATAGGGTTTTGCAGAGTTCTTGCACACGCACATGAAAGTTAGATAATCAAGGAATATTTGGTTAATGAAAGACTGAAAATAGCGATAAACCGATGGGCAAAATCCACTCTAAATTCAATTTAGGGAACCTAATGTACAGGCTAACAAAATATTATAAACCTTACCCTGCGGCGGGAGTTTGACACGCCATCACACCTTCCTTATAAGTAAACGAGAAAACATAGGACGTTTACTTCAATTTAGAACCCATAAACGACATAAACGTTCGCACAAAGGAATTAATATCCATAATTACATAGTTTTTGCAGCATAAAACATAGAAAAGGAGAAGAAATATTTAAAAGAATACTTACGTACGACACAGAACGTCAAAACAAGCTTTTCCACGTTCTCGACGTTGGGTAGACGACGAGTGACGTCAGCGAGGGCAAAACCTGACATGCGTAGAAACATGTTTTCGTTCAAAATTACTTCGGATCGTCCTCGTCCTCGTCTTTCGTCGTCCTTGCTTAAGGTCCCTATTTTCAAAGACTTGCTGTCAAAGTAGGGCAGAAAATGAGTTAACTTTCTTTACCGTTAGAGATTTATACATCACATTTTGTTCAATCCAAGAAAAAGTTATTATTTTCACTCTTGATTTAATCATGTTAGTACCGGCAGTGACTCATGTATAATCTGAAGTTGTAAAGAAAAAACAACCTTGTAACAGAACAGGGATTGATTTATGCTTCACGTTTTTATGTGGAACAGCAAAGTAGACTATAAAAAGTTTACCGCATCATTAATTTAAAGGTGTTCCCCACATAGTCTTTTAACGTATCTCGAAGATTGTTGCCGGTTTTAAAAGCATTTCGCCCTCCGTTGTCATCATCAGAGCCATCGTCTGAGTCGCTATCGTCTGCGTCGTGTAGGTCTCCTTTCAATGCAAATATTGTGTAAAACACAAGCCGCAATTACAGTCCTCTTCAAAGTTGTCGTTTTTTTGTTCAATTTTCTTCAAAATAATCCTCCATCTTGATTTAAGCATGCCAAAAGCTCTTTCGACTACGCATCTCAGTGCGCTGAACTTAACATTGAATTTCCTCTGCTCGGCAGTTAAACGACCTCTATCAGGAAGGGTTTCATGAGCCAGTTTGTGATTGGATAGGCACTGTATCCAGCTAAAAGAAACCCGATTTCTGTTCCATTAATATTTCGCATTGGACCACTAAGAATTTGCTCATTTTCGGCGAAATCGTACAAGCCACTTAGCCTTAAAACTCGAGCATTATGTATACTGCAGGGGGTACCCAACAGTAGCAAGAATGAACGTCAATTTGGCATCGACTATGGCCTGTAGATTTACACTGTAGTGCTGCTTTCGATTAAAATAATCGTCACCCATCGATGGCTCCAACTATTTGCGGTATTCCATACAGCTCCTCAAACTCCTCAATTTTCTCTCCAATTTCCTCATTTGTTAAAGGAAATGTTATGAAACGATCTTTTTAGATCAAAAACAGCTTGCTCGAACTCACTACAGATGATTTTCGCTGTTGACTTTCCTAATCCCAACTGTAACCCACAACTTCTGTAACTGTTCCCTGTTGCCAGTCGCCAGAGTGCTAGGCCAACTCTTTCCTCCGAGCTAACAGGGACTCGGAATCTTGTGTGCTGCTTTTTGCAGGTTTGCTCTCACAAGGTCATAAGTATTCAAATGTTTCTCAGGTGACTTTGAAATGTTTCTTCAAAGAAAATTTAGCGCAGGACTTGCCAGTAATTTTTTGAACCAGTTCTGGGGACGTGGCCGAACCCAAGCTCTTCTTCTGCGTTGTACGTTTTGTTGTTTCATTTGGGCCATGAACATCAGCAACATTTGTCTGTTTCTCCGTCTCCTCTAAATTCTTCCTCTGTGACGAGAAAGTGGTAAAATTGCTGTAATAGCAAAAACTCTCTGTCGTGGCAGTAAGAAAATTATGAGGAACACAAGGTAAGCAATTCGAAGTTTTCGAGGTTGCATGTTGTACTTATGTTTTGTGCATATCGCTGTTAAAATCCTAATCACGCTATTTCATGCGCGCGAAATTTTACCGTGTAACTTGATTGACAACCCCGATTGCTTCAAAGCATACTCTGAATTCTAAATGTGAACGCTTATCACATTAAGAAAACATTAATGTTCTCAAGTGTACTTGGGCTCCTGCTGTACTTAAGGTCTACTTACTTCGCCAGTATGAACCCGCCTTATGGCTCAAAGTTGTAAACGGAAAGTGAAGGCAAGTGTTAGCATCAGCTCTGATGGCGACATTTGCTCTCAGAAGGAAAAAGGCCCGCAACAGTCCATGCTTGGAACCGAACATTAGCATAGTATTCAGCGACAACGATCAAGTTCTGAGTCCTTGAACATGACAGAAAAAATTGCTACTCAACTGGAACCGATCTTCGAAATGCTCGCAGGGGTAGAAAGCAGGTTACAGAATCTAGAAAATAAATTATTTGACCGTTTCTTCGCTTTGTGAGCTGGTTTTAGAAGAGTGCCCAAGCTGGCAGATGATATCGATATTACGGTCTACGCAGATTTTCCTAATGAAATAAGCAAAAGAAGAAAAAAGCAGCGACCACGTCTTAAAAAAAAAGCAAGAGGAGGGAAAGATTGCTTTCTTTGTAAACCAGAACCTGATAAATTATTTACCAATGGCCGATTTGTTCCTAATAGACAAATCTAGGTTTTAGACCTAGTTTATTTTAATTGACTTGTTTATACTTTTCATCAGACTGTTCTTGTAACGGGAGGGGCATGTAGGTTAGAACAATTGGGAGTAGTGTGTGTGTTTTCTACCTACGTGTCGTGTGTTTTTGTACCTCAGTTTTTACCTCTTCTCAATTTTTGGTGTACTGCTGCGGTGGAAAATTATTAATTTTGCATGCGCACCATTTAGTTTTACCCATTCATGAAAGAATTTTTGGATTTTAAATTACTTTCTCTTAATGTCCAGGGATTTGATCCGCCATGAAAAGAAAGCCCTTTTTACCTGGCTAAATGAAGAGAGGTATGATATTATCGTTCTTCAAAGACCTACAGCACTGTTGATGTTGAAGATATTGGAGAACACAATGGAGAGGTAAGCTCTTTTGCCTACGGCTTTAATCATAGTTGTGGGGTGAAACTGTGCGGAAATATTATACAAAATAAAAGAAAACTGAAATAAATAGAAGAAAAAAAAGTAAGAAATGACAAAAATAAATTTAAAAAATAATCATTTTAAATAACGCCCAGTTTGCCTCAATGCATTTAAATCTGCTCGTTATTTTATATATTTTCTTGAAGTCCTAAAAAAAAAAACGGACTATTTTTCCCACCCTAGGTGTCGGTTTTCAGAGGGTGATGTAATTCATTAGTGGAACTAATCTTCTGTGATATATTTATAGAAAAAATGGGAAAAAAGCGCGCAGATAACATGAAAGTTGGATGGTAAAAGCATGAACTGTTCTTTTCACTTTGGCGTCTTTAAGCTCTAAGTTCGCAGTACAGTCGACTTGCATGTCCAAAAAACTCAACAAGGTTATTACTTTGTCATTGGGAATGAAGGAATGGAAGAAGAAAAAAACCGAAGTTTAAGAGCCAAGTAAGTTCAAACTTTCTGTTATGATTACACTTTGCCATGTGTTTCTGATAATTATCATTTTGAATGAGAGCAATAGAGCTCCGTGTTCAGTGGACGAGGGCGGTAACAATGAACTAAAACTATGCTTATCTAACTTTATAGCTTTTCATAGACTGAACTTGGTTAAAATTTCAAAACCTTTACCCTGGCTTTGCGAGAACTTATATGGCTAACTGTGTGTCGAGATTTTCAAATGATATGAATTGACGCATGTGAATTCACTAGCCATTTGCACGTACAAATCAGAATTAGATAAATGAAAGGGTCAGTGGGAAACAAAACTAATTTACCCTTGTCACGGTTTAAAAAGTGCGGTGTCATTAAGTTAATTTCTAACTTGCCATAGGAATGTTTTGAATACCACATTTAACTATGTTCCAACTGCAAATAAGCAGGGTGTAATCACACGTGCCTAGTCTACGAAAAATAATTTGTTGTAAGCTTTTTTTTAATTAGAGTAATTGAAATTTATGAAAAAAAAGTATATGTGGAACAGTCGTTGCCCAAAAAACAACTAATACAGCTAGTGAACTCACTTGGTCAACAAACCGTTACCGCCCCCAGTACCTTGACGAATTCCAAAAAAAAAGTTGCATCTACGCTCAGTGACTCTCTCTGTTGGATGGTGAGTGGGACGTGGATGACCCTTACAAGTTTCCAATAGGGTTTGTTTGCTGAGAAGTTAAAAAAAGTCAAAATTACTTCCGGATCGTCCTCGTCCTCGTCTTTCGTCGTCCTTGCTTAAGGTCCCTATTTTCAAAGACTTGCTGTCAAAGTAGGGCAGAAAATGAGTTAACTTTTCTTTACCGTTAGATTTATACATCACATTTGTTCAATCCAAGAAAAAAGTTATTATTTTCACTCTTGATT